CACCGGACGGAAGCCTGGCGTGGGCGGGGGAGTGGCTGGAAGGCGGGGCCACGATCAGTGCTAGGAGCCTGTGATTGCGCAGAAGCCTGGCGGGGGTGGGGAGCGTGGCTGGGACTCCCACCAGGCCCTCACAGGCTGGGACTCCCAGGCTGGGAGGCGGGACTGCAATTGGCGCTGGGAGCCTGGGAGTCGCAGCTGGGAGGCAGGGCCGTGATCGCTGCTCTAGAAGCATCAGAAGCAAGGGAGGTGGAGGAAGTGGCTGGGAGAGGCAGTACTTATTATCCTGCAGGCCTTTTTTTTTTTTTTTTTGGCTTGGCAAAAATTTTGAGCCCGTGTTGGGTTTTTTTTTTTCCTTGACCAAAATACCGTGTGTCCGGTATTTTTTTTGGGGGGGGGACCATCTGGCAATGCTATACTTCCATGCTTAAATGTTTGCTAGATTGAGGTGATAATATTAAAGGGAAAGATTCTCAAAAAGACCTACCGTATGCGATTTAGGAGCACAAGTCCCATACATTTTAAATTGATTTGTGCTTCTCAGTCACTTGGGCACTTCTGAAAATTCCACCTTAAAGGCATTGAACTTTGAAGGGCCTGCTTACCATTTAAATAATATTCAGAAATTCCATTAGCTAGATGGAATATTCTTAAAAGAAAGGATGTTGTTCTTAGTGGGTTTGTTATAGCATCCTGCTGGGAATCTCTGAATCAGGAGTAAGGTCTTGATCCTGCAGCTTAGGCTGGTGTCATGCATGTCATGGTAATGGCCTGCTGAGCTGTCAGGGAAGTGGTGCCATTGCTGACAAAAGCAATCACTTCAGAACATTCTGTGTATCGCAACTATAGTGGCTTCATACGAAAGCCAAAAACACGTTTCCATTGTAGAGACCACTGAGAGAGGAGAGTGATAGATTTGGGGCAATGTGAAGTAAGAAAAAGAACTGAAAATCTATCATAGTATCACAGGTATTTAAAATGTACTGTCATGTTTTTTTAAGAAAACAAAAGATAACCCCTAAACAAGTTGTTGTTGTTTTTGGTTTTCTGTTGGAATACTATATGTATCTATATTCCTCTATATTATAGTATTTATATATGTAATATATATTCTTATAGTGAAAACCTTCAAATATATATAATCATTGCATATCTAGAAGAGCAAATGATAGACATAATTTTCCATTATAAAGGTAAAAAAGAAAGCATGTCACACCTTTTTTTTCCATGTATTTTTAGATGAAAAATAATGAACTTTCAACCTATCAAATTAGATTCTAAATATAGACAGTATATATTTCTTTTGTGGAAAGTCTATAGATTCCTTGTCTTCATAGTGTTTTTACAATCTATAAGTGTCTCAAAGTCATAGAAATTAATGGATTATTTTAAAAAGTGGTATCTATCTTAATATAACCATTAGTATATATTTTTTACTAATAACTAGTCACCAGGTTTGCATGTTTAATGATTATGCATTATATCTTAATTCATCATTACACCTATTAGGTAGCTCTTGAAAGAATATAATTCAATGTTAATAATTTATTAATCCAGACCTGTCCTTCCTAATCTTAGCGATATTTTTCGGAAGTTATTGTTTGAATGGATGACTTCTGCCACTGTTTTTCTTTGCTTGTAATCACCAAAGACTTTCTGTTTTGATTAGCTCAGTATCATGAAGCACTAAGAGCTCCCAGCAAACTTCTACTACAGCTAGGCCTGTATCTAGGCAACAGCTGTTATGTGTAAAATAAAACTTGGTTGGAGATGTAGGAAAGATATTGTCTATTTGAGGGGATTCAAATGTTATATTAATGTTGTTGTAATGAGTCTAAAATGAACTTAATTCAATAATAAAATAATCATAGAATGTATTCTTTTTATTGTTTTCAAACTAAAAAATGTACAGGTAGTCATCCTGTGCGTCAGTGTTTATGCAGTACTTTTTCCCGTGGAGACAAATACTGAAATACTTAATACTACTGTTCTGCATCATGATCTTCTGTCTTTATTTAGTCAAATTTTGTAATGAACCTGTCACCTCAGTATGTAAATACATAGAACACAGTAATTTGGGGGTAAGTCCAGTTTTACTTACATTATGAGGACTTGGGGAGCAAGGAGTTATTATGAGGACTTGGGGAGCAAGGAGTTATGTAATGCAAGACAGAGTGGTGGAACTATACTTGAGATTGTATCCTATAAAGAGCCCAGTCTTCAGTTTTTATACATCTTTGGATGGTGATTGGGTGTACAAGGAATGCAGCATAAGGACAAATTCAGACCTGGTGTAAATGTGCAACTTTAATGAAAGTCTGTTCCCTATTCAGCAATAGTATAAACAAATATATGATTTTCTGGTTGGGTGCAAGAGGTAAATAATCTAATCTATGCTGATTAAACTCTTGCATCATTGAATGCTCAAACCAAGGTTGTAGAACAAGGAACACAGTTAAGAGGGGGCTGTAATAAAGGAGATCCCTGCTTTGTATATGAGAAATGCATAATCTGGCCTTTTATAGCTAAATAGGATGAGATCATCAGCTAATATAAATCAGCATATTGTTACTAATGTCAGTGAAGCTATGCTGGTTTAAACCATCTGAGGATCTGGCCCATAGTATCATCTGTGTAATAAATTCATACTTTAAGCCCATACTATGAGAATTACATTGACTATACTGAAGTCCAGTCTTCAGACGTCAGTTAAAGAACTTTAAATCACAGTTTAATGTCTATATAAACAAAGAAAACCCTATTTTATCTAACAACCTCCTTTTTGTTTCTTTAATGTATATACAACTGTTGTATTTAAATAGCTCAATTACCATATTATTTTCTAGTGATGACTGCATGAATGCTATGGAATGTGTTAAAATAATTCAGAATATATTTTTCTTGTAGTGCTAAGGGTCCTTTGACTGACCATTTTATTCCTGACCATAGCATAGCCCATGTCAGCCACCACTGAATATGGCTGTGTGTGTGTAGTTTTTCAAATACAGATATAGGACACACTCCTGAAATTCTTATTCAGGCAAAGCATCTATTAAGGACTGATCCCTTAGACATACAAATACAAAATTAAACTACAGAAGATAGATCTGTTTAAGTAAGCAAAAGTTTCAAAATGGCAACATTTACTTCATATAACTCTGTATTTGATTTGATGTAAAATGAAATGTTTGTGTGACAATCTCTATTGCTGTGAGTCTTAAATATTACTTATGAATTTAAACTATTTTTGCCTTTACATAGCAACTTCTGGATTTTAAAATGTTTGTTTATATATTTATTTAAAAGGGGTATTGAGTAACATTTAAAATGTTAGATATTTCAGTTTTGAAATTTTTCCAAAATAACTCAGGCCTTCATTCTGCAAAAGTAAGTGTATAATTTTGCTCAAATAAGTAGATGGAACTCTTAAAGAGAGTAAAGTTGAGCATGTGTTTTCTAAGTCTTGGCAGGATTGGCTACGCTTTTCCCCCCAATGATGTAATTAACACTTACAAATGCCACACTAAAATTCAGACTAAGCACTTTTTGAAATGGGCTGAGATTCCACAGAACAATTGCTGTATGTTGCATTTATTCTCTTATTTTATTTTGCCTGACAGAATTGGTAATCTCCATGATAACATATTTGTATTTCTTTTGCAGCTTAATATAAACATCATAAAGAGTATTTTTAGCATGAGAAATGTTATGAGAGTATAAACAAGTAAACTAATTCGGTTTATGCTGGCTACATGGACAGGCCCAATAGAAATCAGCTTATTTTGACCTGAACTCCCATATATGGTATGTGACTATCCCGAGATTGCATTTCTGCATTAAACAAAATGCAACCGTAGGTGTGTTTGCAGCTTAAAGTTGTCTTGTAGCTTTGGCAAAACAGTTTGTTTTCCTAGGGTGCTTTCTCCAAAAACAAAAAACAAACAAAAAAAATGTCACTTACTTGGATATGATAGCCAGAAGATTTTTCTGATCCAGAAGTACTGCTTTCATTAGTTAAATTAAGGTAAGGCTATGTTACCAATATAGTATAATGCAATACATTTTCTCAATGAAAAACATTTTAAATCTGTTTATTCCAGATACGGCTACATTTTATTTAGTACATTAGGACTAGCATAATCTCAAGTATTTCTATTACAAATAATCAGATTCAGATTATTTTTGCTGTGAAAGTATAGAAAATGAGAGTTTTTAGCTGAAATATACTTGATAAAAGAACAAAATCATCCAAGAAAACTTGTAAAAATTTGGTAACTACATTTTACATATTTAATGCTTTACACTTACTTTATGTATATTTTAATTGGCTGTTTCGAATGATCAATAAACAACAGTGCAATAATAATTTAAGACATCTGAAACATGTTTGTTAAATCTATATTTTACATTAGATCAGCTATTTAAATACTTGAAGATCTAAACTTTGTATATTTCAGTGTTAAATTAACTTCAGATCTTAAACATATATATACACATTTCCTCTAATTTAACTGGAAATGGCCATTATAGATTTTTTTAATGACAAAACATTAATACTGGTGAGTGAGCATTAATACTTTAAAATACAAGTCAAATAGCTTTTAATCTCAGTTCTGATTGTTTTGAGACATACAGGTATTTCACATGTATCTGCATGTTATGCACTGTTAGAAGGTTCCAGATACTGTGTTAAATAGCTTAAAATTGCAGTGGGAAGACTTCAATGTGAAAAGGGCTATACGGTATGAACAGACATTTTCTTTACCAGGTAATCTTTAAATTTTTACCCTTCGTTATCACACATCCATCAAAACTGAATGTTTGCACTTATATTTTTGTCTGATTAGAGATTCTGTGAATATCCAAGTTGTTTAGGTTCACTTATTGAAGTAATGTTTGTTTAATTCCAATTTTTCTATTTGTTGTGGCTTTTTCTTTAAACCTCGGGTAAAGAAAATTGACACTTTTAAACTGAGTTAAAAATTTAAAAATATATTACTGAACAAAAAGTGCTCCCTACTTTGTCTGCTGAGAAGCAGAAAAAAGATGTGGGAAAAAAAAAACCCTTGTGTAAGTGCCACCAGAAGATATGAATGGCTAGCTGGGGGAGAAAGAGACACAGCTTGTTGACAGAGCGCTTGGGCTGTGTTCTTCACCCACAGCTGTTTATTCAGATATCATAGGCTCCTTCATTTACATACTAAATTTTTCTATAGCAGCATGGTCGAGTCAGACAGCACAGGGCTCATTTCAACTGTTACATTTAAACCAATAAGGTTAGGACAAGAGAATAGCTGTGGTTTGCATTACAAAAACAAAACAAAAAGCCCTGAGGCTGCATGGGCAGACCTACAAGACTGAGCAAACAAATAGGAGGGATGAAGATTCTGCTGTTTCTTTGTCTAAGGCTCTCAGATATTATCTGCTGCTATTCAGTGGAGGGAACAGCACATTGCTCAAAGCTGTTACTACACAGAACAGTGGGAGCTGATGGTTCAGAGTTTGGTGCTAGACACAAACTCCCCAGTGCCACTTCCGACTCTAAGTCTTCCTGTGAAAGTCCACTTGGTGGTTTTTCTTTCTGGAGAACTTACCTCCCCCCGCCCCACGCTTTTTCAGGCAGAGCCTGCAGCAGCAATCACACAAGATTTTACTCTTAGCTCGGGTTTGCCCTCCAGAGACGCTTCACTTCTGTTCTCGTGTTCGAGTGAGAGCTACTAAAAACCAGGGCAGTCGGCAGCAAGGCTCAGCGCTATACTTTACACAGGAATAAAGCTATGTGAGGAATGGTGGTTTAAGACAGAAAACGTGAAGGGAGCACATTAAACTGGTGGATACAGCAGATCCAATCACTGTAAGTACAAACCGGCTGTTTTAAAAATTGCATGGACTGACAACAGCTGTCCTGAGATGCAAAGCAGGAAAAAAACACTAGGTCTTTTCTGTTGAAGCTTAAAAAACCCCTCATGAAATGCAGTAATTGCAAAGAGTGTGTACTTTTTCAGGTACTTAAGCAACTTTGTATGAGACCTCATCCATAAGTACTTTCTCTATTTTATTATTAGGTTAATATCTAATTATAAATCAATAATTAACAGTTATTTTTCTCCATGTTTCAGGCTTGGGATTGTAGGTTTCCCACAAAGTAGATAGTATATAGCTCTATTTATTGTATTCGGAGTTTTGTTTCTCCAGTTTGATTTCCTGTAATGGTTCATTGAAAATAAATAACAAAGTGTTGAGTTAGGGGAAAAAAGAGAGTGGGAGGAGGAGGGAGAGTATATCAAACCTTTAGACCTGAGTAGAAGAGGTGCAAGAGCGTGAGAAAAGTAGAAGAAATTTGGAGGAAGAATTCATGACAGATCTTGACAGTACTTTCTGAAGCAGGAAATCCTTTTGCTTCATATGTTTCATTTTTCCAAACGCCAGACAAAACATGCAGGTCCCCAAATGAAAACTTTTCAAGTCGATAGAATACACATCTACACAGCTAAAATATGTGACGTTTATGGACATTTTATGTGGCTCGTTTAGAACTAAGAACTTAGAATCAGGAAGTTAAAAGTCTTTTAAAGTATCATTAAATTTTATATCTTGTGTTTGAGCACTCAAGACACAAGATACTCACAAGTATGTATTTCTTATGGCGTTTTTGACAAACAACAATAAATGGATGACTGGCAGCTGTATTATTCTGACTTTTTCTGTAAATGTAAAGGTGTCATTGGCTTTAAAATTATTCCTTAGATGCAGATATATTTCAATGAAGAGAGAAGCCAGAAAACAAAGAAAATTTAAGCACCAATAAAACTTTTAACTTTTTCATCCTGTTTGTCTTTTAAATAATTAATAATTGATGGAAAGGTTTGTTAAATACTGTTTTCTGTGTAGTCAGAATTCTTTTTGCCCCTGCCATACTTTCCAGAATAAGTATTATTTACACTTCTTTACTGATGTTGTTTGTCCAGAGTATTTCATATAGTTAAGGAAGTATAAAAGTGTGTGTGTGAGACACACACACTCACAAGTCATGGAATTACTTCTTCAATATTTCTAAAGTCCAGCGTGTTCGACTATTGGACAGCCGCAATCTCTCAAACCTGAAAAATCTGTGTCGTGACAGACACATAAGCCTAACTGAGCCACTTTTCACCTTCAGGAGCACACAATACAAGAATGTGCAACTCTGAAGGCAAGGCTATCATTTTCTAAGTTTTGATAGATACAGAATATTTTCTAAGAGCCAAAAAACGCCTTGAAGACCAGAAAACTAATAGTTAATTTTTAAATGTCTATATATACTAGAAGTATTGACACAAGGTAGTACTTGTCTCCAAAAGAGAATAATTTTGTTCATATTTCAGACATGTCAAAATTTCATTCATACACATATTGAAAATAGGTGAATTAAAAGTATTTAAAAATTAAACTACTACTCAAAAATAGAGATCTATGATCATCTGCGTCTGTTATGAAAATTATTCTTTTTGAGCTTGTCTTTGAAGTAAGTACTTGAATTAAGAAAACTGGACTTGTATTTTGTATTTCTAAATATGTATTCTGTATTTCTGTGTACTGGTAGGATTACAAGATGAGTGAAAGTATAATGAAAGAATTTTCCAGTTTTTAAGGTGACCTTTTTTCACTAGTATGTTTTTTCTTTAATTTCTTTACATTTAGCTTTTGAAATAACTACATTTATTCAAAAAAAATTTCAAGAGAAAAAGAATGCTGTTTTGAAAAATACATATAGGTTTTGTTGAAAAATATAGTATTTTTCAATGAAGAAATATTCTGATTAGAAAATTGCCATTATGTTTGAGATTTTTGGGTAGAGTAGAACTGTGGTTGCAAAAAAAAAAAAACCACACACCCAACATATAGCTCATATGCCAGCTATATTTATTTGGGTAAGTATAGTTTTTTCACTTTGAAAATTTATTTGCATCTGGAAAAAATGTTTTAAATTATAGTCATTTTATAAAAATTGCTTTTAGCAAGCAAAAATAGTCTGTGGAAAACCCATAATTTAGACAAGTACCTTACACTTTATTTGCTCTGCGCTGCCGAGATTTAGAATCCCTTCCCATTTACAGTTTACTTTTCACAGAACATTATTAACTTTTTGGCTTCATACATGATCTTCTGTCAGATGCTTTTGATTTGTAATTTAGCAAAGTATAATAAACAGTGCAAAAGTCATGAATTTTCCTCTGCATCCTGAGCTCTGTGGTAGGGAAAATGTGATAAAATGTGTACCTTAAGTCTTGTTTGATGATCTCTCAAAGCAAGTTTGCCTTCTGGAAATAATTTCTGGGGTTGAAGAGCATGGTATTAACAGATTTAATGTGGCTATTCCGTGGATTGGTGAAGTACTATGTGAGGTTTAACAAAATGAGAGAGACAAATTGAACATCAACAAAACCTACATCTGTGAAGAATTATAAATTTAATTAGTAAAAAAGGCAAACTTAAAATACCTCATTAAGTAATCAGAATTTGATGTTTCTAGTTTAAGAGTCTTAAATGGGTGAATTTTAAGTAGCTGTACTATCATTGGCATTTCTTTCTCTTGTCATATATAATGGAGTCCCAGAAGCCGTGGCCCATGTTAAAATGAAGAAGTGAATGTTACTTAAAATAATGAAATTATAAATAGTAGTAATGTGATGCATTTGGAAGAATCTGTATGTCATTTATCATTTTAGGCAATTTTAGGTCTGCTCAGGATGCAGTGTACAAGTGAGTGACAGAAAAAAAAAATCTGTATTTTTTTTAATGTTCCCCCTTGAATGGATTCTTAAGGCCAAAATATTTTTTCCCTTTGCTTAAAGGAGAAATTTGTTTAATTAATGAGTTACTAAAATATATTTTAGAACTTCATTTATCTAGAAGCCTCATGGCAAAGGTGGGCAGTTATAAGAGTAAGCCAGCGCCACCCAGAAATGTGTTTTTCTTCCTAGTCGTCATAAGTTTCTTTACAACATTGTAATTTTGTACCACACATAAAAAACTGAAAGCATGTGAAGTGTAGCATTTTGTAAACTGTAACTAATTTCACTCACATCTGTGTCTAATTGTTGTCTGCATTCGCATTCTTGAGAGTAGATTTATTTTTCCTGGACCACTATGTGGATTCAGCTGACCAGCCTAAGTGAGGATTAGTTGTTTTAAAGTTATTTTGATTAAAGAGTCATTTTTAAATATGGTAACACACAACACATGGTTTAAATAATCCTTGAGACACAAAGGAATATGTCTGAAGTAGGCCTAATGAAAATGAAGATCATGGATATGAACTTTATGATTTGTGAGAGTATAAAAGGACATATAAGGTATATATTTAATTTTCTAGGCTACATCTACATACAGGCAAGTTGCTTTTTTTCCCCCTCACTAGATGAATTTAAGATATTTTTAAAAACAGACTATTATATTTGTTAATTTTTATTTTGGAATTAAAATTGGATTAAATGCATTTCAGAAGGTAGTAAAGTAATAATATTAAAAGTATACTTCTGAGACCATGCCATTTAGTTTATATATGTATATAAATACAAATTTTAAAAAGAAAATACTTTCTTGTGTTCATCTGAGACATATTTTAAATGACTCTTCACATTACTAAGTAGAGATAGCTCTTAAAACAAAGTTAGTTCTCACCTATAATTTATTCCAGGTGTATAGAAGTACCAGTAGAGGAACATATCCTAAAGGCATTCTGCTGCAGTTTCTGGGGTTAAGAGTAAAAAAAAAATCCATCTTATATTTGACTATTTTTCTTTTTCTTTCTGAAAAAAAAGGCATGGTGTAGCTGCTGCAAAAACACATCTGATATTTCAGTTTGATTTGGCTAACTACAAAGTACAGTATTGAAAAACATAATGTGCAATACTTTAAATTCACAATTATAAAAACATTGAAGTTTTTCTGTATGCATTACTGCATGCTTCTTGACATCACTTGTAATGCTATATGTTGCCTGGCTGCCTCTAGCAGTGGTTTAATCTTGCAAGAGTAGTAATTCTGTCTGTGATTAAAAATAACAAAAACTGCACACACCTAAATGAGATTGGCTTGGATGATTTTTATGGCACTTAAAATGCTTATCTCTCTTGTCTTTGTTCTATGATCATCAGAGGTGTCAGTTTAGGTTGAATGGAAATGCACATTAAAGATTCTGAGTGTAGACATTTAAACAATATACCTTTGGTAGAGAAGCTTGTATGTTCAACCCAGCAGCGTATCTTCACCTGAGTATTATCAGCTGCTGGCAATTGTTACTAGATTTAGAGAAAAGTTTTCTATCAAAGGCAATTCATTAAGTGATGTCCAGCAGGATCTACATTCATAATGTGTTTTTCTAACCACATCAGATGAAAATATACTAGTCAGCTGGGGTTTTGAAGTGATTATTTTTATTAAAAAGTGAAGACTTCTAATTGGTTTCCACTGTAAAATCCAGGCTTCCTTCTAAATCTCAGTATGACTAAAAGCAAATAGTGGGAGGTTCACGCTAAGTTTCTTTTTTAGTAAGAGAACTATAGTTTTTTAAAGTAGGGTATCTGACATTCTTACAGGTCATTAGAAACCTTACAAATTGTCATGCAGAAATGTGTTTTCTTCTGCATTCTAATTCAATTTATTTTGTGATATGGTGATATCTTTTCAAAAACTAATTTGCACTGTTTTGAGATGGATGTGCTTTTTAGACAGTTTCACAGAGTGGATGGTCATAAAAGATATTCAGTTCTACATAGCAGATGTACTTCCCATTTTAAGAAAATATCTGATCTCATGAATGTTAAATGACAGGCAGTAAACGAGGAAGAAAAACAACACGATAAGGTTAAGAAACTGTTGAGTTCAAGAATGGAAGGGAGATATGTTTCAACCAGTGATAAGAAAAGATGAAAGATCTTCTGAGGATGCTGAGCTTTTACTGCTTGAGCTACTTCTGTACAATATGTTCCCTGTGTTAACACCTACCTTTTTCCAGACACCTCTTTCTAGCTACCTTAGCAAGGCTGCTTTGCATGTTGATTGGGGGAGGGGTAATCCAGTTTGCAGCTGTCATAGGCCAGTGATGAATCACTATCCCGTCATTTGGCTGCCTTCCCCCTGACATGGAGAGGAGGGGGATGGACCTGCAGGAGGAAACAACAGTTGAGACTTCAATTTAAAGACAATATGCCTTTCACTGTCGCAGTATTCACCTTTTGGTTAAAGGACACTATTGTCATCCATCGTAATATTCTTGTTTAGATTAAGGTCAGGCATTAAAGTAGAATAATAGTGGCTTCTATTTGTTTTCCGGGTTTGCAGGTGCAAAAATCCCAAACCAGTTCAGATGTTGCTGTTTTCTCAAGTTGCAGGTAAGGATATGATCGATATTTGGTCTCTCTGTGGAAAGAAGTGCTTAGAAGTAAGGGGTTTTTACTTCAGATAAAAGTAAACATTTATTATTGTTTTCCACTTTAAATGGAAGAATATTACATCAATGCCTGGAGAACTCTGAGGTGAATTAATACAATAAAGTCTGTAAACTATGGATAAAATCAGTCCTGCACCTAATATTTTTCATTTAAATGCTAGAGACTCCCTTTTTCTTAAAGACTCCCCAGAATTGTAGCTGGGCTTTTAAAATGTAAGGCTTGGCTTTACTAGTGAGAGTTAAGATGAAATTGTATTAAAGATATCTACAATAAAATCCCATTATAAATGTGAAAAGTCAGATGAAAACATTTGTGTTTAAGCATATTTACATTTCCACTATGGAAAGAAGAAGTTTTGTGTTATTTAAATACAATTTTAAAATGCCTTCATTACAATGTTTGAAGTGGAAGCAGTCTGTGTTCAAATACATTGGTGGAAAAAGTCTCAGAGGGGCAGCCTTGTTAGTATGTAACTGAAAAAAACTTTAAAAACCCCCAAATAATAGTTCTACAGTACCTTGTTTTTTAAGTTTTAAGTTTTTTCAGTTACAGACTGACATAGCTACTCCTCTGAGACCTTTAAACATGCAAGGCATTGCAATAGTTTCTAATAGTTTCTAAGGAACTATTGGTAGAAATGTCAGTCATACAAATTTTCTATCAGAAGAGACTACTTAAAAAGTAGTCATTAGCATTATCATGCATTTTTGGAACAATGGAAACGAAAGCAATATATACTTTGTTTACGAGCTTAACAAATACAAACCGAGAGTTTGGAACGGTGATCATGAACAGAGACCTGTTTTCCTTTTTAGAAACTGAAACTGTTGAATCTAAGATATTTGTGATGAATTTAGCTGTTTGGCTACTGCATTAATGTTAATTGGTTTTTTTTAATTGAATCTGAATTGTTTAATTTTGCCTAAGTGACAGCTGAGGAATTGTGAAGTGTTAAGGCATACTAGAGTCTGTATGGATTCACTGTATGTTGCCTTATCCCTTTTCAATTGGGCATGCTTTATGTAATCCACAAAGCAAACAAGTGAGCAGACATAATAGTGTTTTAATGCGCATTTGTTTCAACGGAAACAGAGGAACAATTAAGTAGTTTGCCAGAGTAAACACATACATCAGGAATATCTCATTCCCTGTCACTAGACTATAGGTTTCAACAATTGCTTCAAGTGTTTTATTTGGTTTTGAGGCCCATTAAATTCCAATTGGGTGGTAAATTTTGAGAAAGCAAAGAGTTATCTTATTGCTAAGGGAATGTGTCATTTTATATATTAATGAAACTGCCTATTATACATAATTTAAAAAGTGTAATAATATGAATCTCTTAGGCATAGTTTAATTTATTTATATTTTATTCTGTTAAGTGTTACAATAAAAGATACGACTGTTTGTCATGAGTTGAATATATGGAGTAAAAATACAAGAGTGAACACTTTGATGCTGAGAAAAAAAGATCATGACAGGAAAAATATTGTTTATTTACATAGTATTGTATAATCAAGTAGAAACAATGGATTAGATGTTGTTCGGACAATTCCTCCATAATGAAAGTTGAATGTAACAGTAAAATTGTCTGCTTCTTGTTTTTAGGTCTATGGAAATGCAGGATCTAGCCAGCCCACATAGCCGACTAAGTGGTAGTAGTGAATCCCCCTCCGGCCCAAAACTTGATAACTCTCATATAAATAGTAATTCCATGACACCCAATGGCACAGAAGGTGAGCTATCATTTTTTCTGACTATATTTCATATAGTATTCGTTCTCAAGAGATTTGTTCCATCAGTCTTTAAGACAGTAAGTTTTATATATAGAAAAAATACTATTTTAGGTGTTCTATCT